TATACTCCCTCTTGTCCCCAGTTATCATCAGTGAATGAGACAGTCTCTGTTGCTTCTCATCAGTCCATTGCAACATACAGTTATACATTAATAGGTCTGTACAGTGGTATGAACTATACCATCACAGTGAGAGCTGGTAATGCACTAGGAGGATCTGAATTAAGCATGATCAATGTACAAACCGAAGCAATAAGTACGTATGATATTCATCATTGTTATTACTAATTTGATTATATGATTTTTAGTTCCTAGTGGTTGGCCATCATCAATTCAAGTAGTACAAGTTAATTCTACAGCAAATAAATTCACTTGGAATGAGGTCAATTGCTCTCAGCGTAATGGTCTAATCACAGGCTATATAGTGATAATCAGTAATAGTAATATCACATACAACCTCACCAGTACTGAGAGATATATCATATTGAATGATCTAGTATTTGGTACGGAGTATAACATCAGTGTAGCTGCTGTCAATTCTGTTGGAAGAGGTCCCTTCAGTGATCCTATTTTAGTTGGGATTGGAATAGGTATATGTAATTATATTGCACTTCATCTGATGATCGAAAGTGTTTTTGTTTTTAGTACCTGGTCCAGTTGGTTCATTATCCAGTATCATGGACACTACATGGGCTGTTATCTCATGGAGTGTACCTAGTTATATTCCACAAGACTATCCCATCATTACATATGAGGCAGGATACTATGTCATATCGTCTGGTAACTGTTCAACAGTAGATAGTGATATTGATTTTCAAATGCGACAGCTCTTTAACTCAACCAATAGCAATACATTTATTATAATCACTGACCTTAAAGATGCATCTTGTTATATTTTTGGTGTACGTGCCTATACTGAGAATGGATATGGAAAATGGGCATTTATTGTTAATAGGACCCTAAAACTGCCACAAACATCCCCTTGCTTCCCTTCAAATAGCAATGCATCCAATACTGTTATTGCTCTATGTGTGTTAGTAGGTGTATTGTGTATTCTACTAACTGTCAGTGTTATTATTTATATCAATTACTTCATAAGGTATAGTATACAATATTTATCAGTAAAATTTATTGTTTTGCCTTTAGAAAGAAGAGTTCATATGCTACTAACAAACAAACAAAGTTAGCTTATTATTTTATGACTTGCCTTTTACCAAATATAATAATAGGAGTGATGATAATATTCCAATGCAAGTCTGTGAACCTTACGAAATTCATAAGAAAAGATTAAATGAAGAAAATGAAGAAGTATATGCAGAATGCCAGACATCACCTGATGATATTTATGAACCTATGCCGCAATAAATGCTCCTTAAAAACTGTTAAAATATCCTCTAGTTTTACTGTAGCTTGTTAAAGAATAACTTGTGTTGTGCAATTAGTGAAAAAATAAGATTTTGTGAGTGCATTAATGAAAATTGTTGTAGGTTTAGGCTTTATGCTAGCATAATGTACTCCTATTGAATTCATCTTTGCGAAGGAAGTGGAAGGATAATTTATAATTAGCAAGATTGACCCTTAAATGAATCATCAGTAGCCACTTACAATGACACAATCAAATGCTATTGCATTTGGTTCCTGTATATTTATGGTTCCTGTATATCTATGGTTCCTGCAGCAATACTGAACTTAGAATTTGCATTTCATTTAACATCCGGTATATATACTTGAGTAGCTCCACCTCATGGCCCTACCTTCCTCCCCCACGTGGCTTAAGCAATCAATGTCACTGCAATCATAGACCCTACTGCAATCATAGATGCTACACTCGAGCAGCATCCGAGCCTTCACCAACTTTCTTTCCTTCTTTCTGAACGAACTAATTTAATTTCCTCAGTTTGAGCTCTGAGGAGGTGAAGAAACTTGGCGCGAAACGTGTCACGAACTCAACATATCTATGGTTTGATGACCTGATGACCCCTACATCCAAACAATGGCCTGTGAGACTCGCTGGAGACTAGTCAGGCACTGTTTCCTACTGAAGCCCACTGTAGTTGGATGCCCATAAAGTGCACCATTTTTAGGTGAGAATGAACACTACTTGGTTACAATGAATTACATATATTTTGATCTATATCCAATTTGCCAACTCAAATTTTGTAATAATTCAGTCACATTAATATACAAATCACTATAATACATGTTTCCCTCAAAGCATGTAAAGTTTACTTAAAACTTTTTTTATGAGCTGACGACAAGTACTGTTATTGCTTTTAGAGCTGTACTTCAAAATTTAATTTTGATTGGAAGCGGCTCCAAATTTTATACACAACTGACAAAATTTGGCTAATGACCCTGTTTGTCTGATTTTTGAGCAATTTTAAAAATTTATAAAAAATTTAATTTTGATCGTAATCAGCTTAAACTTTCTATGCAAGATAAGCACATGTATATGATTCAGATAAAAACAAAAATGGAGAATTCTCTCCTTGTCATTTTGACAGAATACCCTGTATTGTACAGGGTCTTTTGTCAAATTTTAGAGCAACAGTCTGGAAGCCAAGGAGCATATGATTGCTCTGTTCTCCTACTTGAGGGTTGAGTGGCGGACACATATTTTTTTCAGGTCGAAATGGTCTCAAAATATTGCATTTCTTAATTTTCTTGTTCTCTTTTTTGTAGATGACAACATTTAGAATTCAAAAGTTTGAGAATGATGAGACAACAGTCCTACAGAAGATACTACAGGACACTATTGACACTGAGGAGCTATAACAGTGGAGAAGAGGAAGATGGCTAGCCAGGATGAAGTGATAAATGAGAATGAGGCTGTCACTAAACAAAAAAGGTCACCGTAATTATTGCCTTTTATTTGTTTCTTGTTGTATTTTGCATTAATGGATTTTTTATTCATTTTTGCCCTTTTCTTTCCTTCCCAGTCAGTAGCTGAGAGGTTGTGGACCTACTGGACTTCACTTCAGACAAAAATCATGAAAGTAAACTTGACATGGACAGCCACATTAATAAAAGATTGAAATACACCGTTTGTTCCCAGTGGATTAAAACAAGTAAGAGAGAGGGAAGGAGAGATTCTTAGACAAAAGGCAATGACAAAATGATTGTATTGAAACAGTGCCATATTATAATGTGTACTTTTCTTGTAGACATTGATGAAAGAGCTAACTATACATGTACATGTACAAGTACATGTATGCAACTTGACCTGTGATATCACCAGATCCTAACATCAATGATAGGAATACCAATGGTATGTGACTGCATTATGTACATGTACATGTATTGCATTTATTATGATTCATTACTCGTCTGTGGTTTTTTCCCACAAATTGGATACCTAAATGTACATTGTACTCTATTTGTCATAAAATTTGAGTTATTTCTGTACATGTACATGTACATGCACATGTACATTTAAATGTATGTTGTACATTATCTTAAAGAACAGGTGCACTAGCATATCAGCTTGTAAACAAAACCTCCACACATTGTTATTATTGTTATTGTTATTATTTTTGTTGTTGTTACTGTTGTTTTTAGATGGTCATTCTCGTGTCAAATTACAATTGAAAGTCCTAATGTCCCTGGGTCAGATTACACATGTATATCAAGATAAACTACATACATTGACGTAAGATGTTAATTTGCATAAAATAAAATTAATTATAACTGCTACTAGTACTTACATGTAGGTTTAATATACTTTTTTGAGTGGTCTTTAAGGATTTAGTATCTTAGGATTAATTCTCTATTTGTTCTTCTTCTCTCAGGAAAATCAAAAGGAAAATTAATGCCTATAATATACATCTCAGGGTCCAGTTCCTCACTTTATTGATGATTTCTGGTTGAACAGAATGTGGAGACAGTTGTAATACTGACAAACCTAAAAAAGAAATGAAGAGTAAGTTATACATGTACGTGTAATATTAACTAATAATGAATCGACATGTAAATTGTAAATGCATGTGTATTAGAATGTGCATGGCATTTGCTACTTAATTAAGTACATGTGTACATCAATATGTATCAGAAAATGTAATGAAAAGTTGATTTGATTTTTTGAAGTGATTCTTTTAAAGCATGGGTCATACATTGTAGTACAGTGATTTTTCAGAAATTGACCAGTTGTTAAAAACAGGATAAATTCAAAAAATTAAGCCTATTAGAATTAGCCCAAACTTTCTACATATGTAAGTACAACAGTATGTATTAGAAAATGTAATAAAAATTTGGAGTGATTTTGGGGCCATTTTTTTTAAATACCATGTGCTTATAGTACAGGGATATTAACGGTCATAACATGAAAAATTTAACCCAGAATCAGCTCAAACTTTTTACATAGTGTAAGTACATCAATATGTATTAGAAAATGTAATAATAATTGGGGGTGATTTTGGGGCCATTTTTTGAAAAATACCATGGGCTATAATAAATAGTACAGGGATATTTTCAGAAATAGGCCAAATTTTAAAAACGGTCATAACTTGAAAAATTTAAACCGTAATCAGCTCAAACTTTCTACATAGAGTAAGTACATCAATATGTATGAGAAAATGTAATTAAAGTTGGGGGTGATTTCGGGCCATTTTTTGAAAAAACCATGGACTACAGTACAGTGATCCTTTTTAAAATTGGCACTGGAGCTTTTTACTTTTATGGTATTCTTCTTTTTTTTTCTAGGCAATGTGTGGCCTAATTCTGGTACATGTACTGAGATGTACAGATTCTTTGAGACAACGCTTCACTCAATGAAGGAATACCCAGACTACACTGTACATACATGTACTTGGAAAATTCAAGATAGTTGACAGCAGAGTGAGAGGTAATACATGTACATGTGTACATGTACCTTTACTTTCATTTGTATTGATATGTACATGTATATAGTTCATGCATAATCCATAATTATCTCCTTTGAAAATGAAAATTGTGCTAAATTTCAGTGATTGGTTCTGTTGCATTTTTAGTGGCTATAACTCTTCATTATTGCACTTTGTTTACATTGTATATACAGTATTCTGCTGTTTTCTCCTATGTACATGTAGGATGCTGAGGGTAGTAGTCAACATGTTAAACAGTTCCAATGTGTACCTGATTTTTCCGTTGGTCTTTTGGACGAGAGAGAAGAAGTAGAGAAATGTCAGAGGAACTCTGATGACAAACCAACATTCACTGAAGGTTAGTACATGTACATTGTATACACCTCTAGTATTTGAATTTGTGTAGATTGTGAGTATTTTAGCAAAGACCAGTTTTACATGTACACTATATTAGAGGATCAGATTTATGTACAGATACATGTACTTGCATTTGTTCACCATTTTGTCTGTCATAGTTTCTCTTCTCTCTCTCTCTCACTCTCTGACTCGTTTTACCTTTTATGCATGCTTATGTGTACTGATGTTTCATTTCATTTTATTTTGGTAAATATTGATAATAGCTACATTTATCTCTTTCTTTCAGGATCAATATATTGACTCTCTTCACACTTGTGCTAACTTCAGCTTATGAAAGTGAACTATATTGTTTTTGTTTACTGATTTGGTGCTGTACATGGTTCTACATTCCAATAATACTTGATTGTTGGTAGTATAGTTATACTCACCGACAGTACAATAATTATTATCAACTATACTGCATACTTTACATCTATTCCAGACACTTTAGGACCCAATGTGATACTGTCCTGATTAGTGATTATCAAAGTGTCCTTATTTCAGAAGTTCATCAATACACATTTATATTGCATTGGGGCTGATACTACCTGCCCTGATTATAGAGCTGTTCTAATTTTAGGGTGTCCACAATAAGGATGTACATGCATGCATGTACTTGTAATACAAATTATGAATATGATTAAGTACAACCCACAATAGACTGTCACTAATGCTTGCTTTATAAGGACACAGTGTAGTCTTCTTTCTTTGGTTATCCAATGCTTCAAAATGTAAGCTGCTAAAGTAAGGTGATTAGCCCTTGCAGTCTTGTATTTGTGATTCTGGTTTTGGTAACACTAGTTATTTATTTATTTGTTTATATTTAAGTGAACCATGCATGTACATGTTTTTATGCTTTGTAGGAAGTTTGAGTGGACTGCCATCAATGTTGGAATTTTTATGAATTTTTAAAGCTATAAAAATTGGTCTTGTATTGTTTTCATTGAACTATGTCTATAATAACTAGCCTCGCCTTTCACGGGAATGCGCATGCGCAGAGGTGAATAGTCACATGCTAGCTCCAAGTGAAACTATTGACGTCATTTTGTATCTCTATAGTAACTGTTTTACGTCAGTAAGGCTGACCAATCAGATTCGTCCGCGAAGGTCACTTCCCGGGGAAAACCCAGAGGCTATATATTGAGCTGCCCCTAGTCTTCCTACGCATTTCTGACGTTTTTCTGGAAGGAGAATGATCAGTCTTCAAGGGCTCTGTCTCTGCTACAGTTAGTAATGGCTACCTGTCTTCTTCCTCCTCTCTCTCTTTCTCCTTCTACTTCTCTCTTCCAATCACTCATTTATTTATATTCTCTTTCTCTACAGGTTGGCAGCAGTTGGCCCATTCTTCAGTCTTTCTCTCTCCTCTAAAAGGTCACGGTGGGTTGTGACCTTTTCCTTCAATGGCTGCTACACCTGCTCATGGTTAGCAGTCTCTTTCTCTTTCCCTCTCCTCTTATCTGTTTTACTTTTCCCTTTACTATTTTGTTATTGTCACTCATTTTCTTTTCTTATACAGGTTAGCAGTTTTGGCCCTCCCCTTGGACAGGCTAGAATTTAATTGACATTCCATATTTTTCCTGGCCACATGCTTAGTTAAATTTCCCGCCATTTTTGATGCCACGCCCACAAAAAGGAGGCACAAACGGACACAAGATTGATCGATAGGACGAGAAAGAGAAAGAATGGATGTGACCTCAAGTGAGGAATTCATTTTTAGTAGAGCCATGCATGTCTCAGTTGTAGTTGTTGTAGACACTTGTCTGCATAGCCTCTTGTTTGCTTGTTGTTAGTTGTTTTGATAGTGTACTGTAGCCTATTGTGTGTATAATACTGTAGCCTATTGCTGTATACTGTACTGCACTGTAACTTACTGTGTTTGCACAGTACTATAGCCTATTGTCTGTAATGTACTGTAGCCTGTTGTCTGTAATGTACTGCAGCCTATTGTGTGTATAATACTGTACTCTACTGTAGCTTATTGCTGTATACTGTACTGTACTGTAACTTACTGTGTTTGTACTGTACTGTAGCCTATTGTCTGTAATGTACTGTAGCCTATTCTATGTACTGCACTGTACTGTGACCTGTTGTGTGTATAATATACTGTACTGTACTGTAGCCTATTGCTGTATACTGTTCTGTACTGTTGTATACGGCACTGTACTGTAGCCTATTACTGTACTAGTATATACTGTACTACTCTGTTGTACTCTAGCATGTACATGTATGCATGTACTGTACTGAAGCCCATATGTTCACTTGCTTTTTATTTCAATTTAGGAGCTGTAATTGCCAAGCCTTGTCAAGTTTTCATTGACGTACTCTCTCATTGTACATCCGTGGAACTGGACGTGTGACGTGAACTGAAGCATTTTTGGGTTGTTAGTACCTGGAGTCGTTCGTATCGTTGGTATGGATTCTCATGGAGTGGATTCTCTTGGATCAATCAGCAAGTCAAAAGTTGTAATGCTAGTCGGGCTGGCCGACCAGACCTGGCTAGTAATGCACACATACAATCCTTGCTTGTCATTATATGAATGTCCCCATTTGCATGCGTATAATAC